AGTGTTGGGCTTTACATGCTCTACAAAATGCAAAAAAGAATGGGTCTCTAGCATTAATGGTTCCCGAATTAGAGACAGTTTTCAGTTTCGATATCTTATGCCCGCTACCCCCGTGAAAATGCACCGATTGACCCCAAATTCTCGGAGATGAAAGATGACCCAAAGGGTAACACTTTCCAATAATATTATTGGTTAGGTCTGTGTAGTTTCTGAATATCAGCGCAAATAATTTTTTTTTCGTAAAAAATTTAATTTTTTTGAAAATTTTGGCCCGTTTGACCTTGAAATAAAGGTCAAAGGTCAAATCCAAGGGCATATTTGAAATCTCCACATATGAGTTTCGGTCAGCTGTCTGTAGACATTTTTCCCATAATTCCTTCCCGTAGGATAGATAATTAGCATTTAATTTTGCCATTTTTGGACAAGGGTGCATTGCAATGAGCGCCACACCTAGACCCCAGCACTGATGAAGCCCAAATTTTACGTGGAACGAGTTGAGATTATAGGTGACCTAAATCCAAGAGATGGGTACGCAGGCCCTTGTAGTCTAGGAGGAGAAGCGGTAACGGTGACATGGCGGCGGAGCCGGCGGAACATACGGGTCGGGACTAAAACCATGTGTACTGCCAGCGCCTACGCTGGTGGTACAATTAAGTCACATATCCATTGTCAGTGATGTTGTTAGGAAGTCCTACATATTTATATTTGCTCTTCCTTCATGCACTTTACAACATTGCAAAAAAATAAAATAAATAAATAAATAAATAAAAATAAAATAAATAAATAAATAAATAAAAAAGTAAAAATGGCAAAATTACAGATACAAGAAGCAATAGAGAATTCACATTAAATTACATACAAATCAATATAAATGACATCTGGTACTTGTGGGTATGCAATGCACTCACTGGTTTTCTGATCTTAAGTCAGCCAGTTATTTAGGTACAAAGCCCCATAATTGCATTCTAAACAGTGAGCAACTTAAGTATTACAGATAATAAAAATAAAAATTTCTTCCCTTAACTGCTCGCTAAGAATTGAAAAAGCTACTGAAAATTTTAAAAACTTTAATTATTCCCAAATTCAATCATCCAACAGTTGTCATATTAACCTTCTGACACTAACATATTTAACATTCAGAGATTGTTGAAAATAACATGATTACTTCTTTTGAATTATTAGCACAATTAGCATAAATTTCCCACTCATTCAATACCTTGACAAAGAAACACCTCCTGGTTTTCCAATGGACTTTTCATGGTGGAGCACGCTGTCATTCCAGGGCACATTCAGAAAGTTAAGAATCCTCTCCATTTCTGACTTTGGATGTAGCACAAGTTGTTCATAATGAACAGGCAGGCACTGTTTATTACCCACAGCCACACACTGGTCATATATTGTCTTTATGGCCCTGTTCCAGTCTTTCAAAGCCAAATCCCATGACTTTGTGTTGAACCCCCTGATTGTAACTTTACGTGTTATTATGGAATGCACAGTGGCCCGGCCATCTCGTATCATGAGGATAAATTTAGAATTTGGAAAAATTTGTGAAAGCTTTTTGATGTGTTTTAAGGCAAATGGGTCTTTATTGCACAGTCTTGGAGCAGGCTCACCGTGATGTGCAATAATACTGAGGATATAAGCACCTAATGCACCATCCAAAATATCACTAGTTATTTTGGCTTCTTGAAGCCGGGTCATCTCTAAATTCGAATTGGCCATTTGTCCATGTATGCCAAGTACCCGAGGAATAACCCGTGTCTCCTCCCCACAGCGGATAGCTGGGTGAGCATCCAGCATTGCCCTCGCCAGGGTGGTGCCACTGCGGGGTACTCCACCTATCCATATCAGTGGAATGTTCTTGTCGTACCAAACATGGTTCTCATTTCTGTAGTCATAATTAAGGGAACTAAGACTACGTCCTTGTTCTCTGCCATAACCATCTAACTTTGAGAAAATATTCACCTTCCTCTCTTTTAAACCAAAGACAAAAATAAGAATGGTAGCAACTGCTATGACAAACTGGATTTTATGCCACTTGCTCCCTCGACAAAAAGCCATCTCACCATAATGCTTCTGAAAAAGAGATGAAATAATTATACAATTTATACTGAAACTATATTCAGGAAAGAGATAAAACATAATTTATACTAAAACCCACATCTAGGAAATTACCAGCAGAATCACACCCAAATTACTTAGCTCATAAATACCATGTTACAGCAGAGACAGCTCAACTGACACAAAAAGTACTTCAAGTAAAATGCTAAAATGAGAAAAGAAATCCCCTGCTGGCTGGATTTAATAACACCATGTTAAGACCTTCACATATGCTAAGATTTTCAAAGAAATTACCTTGACAACACAGGTCTTTCTTTTGTGAAGAAGGAACAATTATAGCGAAAGACGAGGCAACTTCTCTATTGATTGATAGTATGAAAAACCCTGTTCTCTCTTCAGAATACAAATAACATAAATGTCACAAACTGCATTAGCTGCTGTTACAACTGAGACATTCAGGCACTTACTAAAAATATTTATATCTACAAATTCCAGGGTACCCCCAATAGCAGCATCCAGCTGAATGAGGTATTTATAAAACAAAATTGAGAGTTTGAGATCATTTTGCAGCTTCCAGAGCACACATATTGAGATAAATGGCAGCACATATATTGAGATAAATGTCAATTTTAAAACCTTAGAAAGGTCTTCCGTCACTGATACTGATCACTTTTCAATGGCTTGGCCAAGAACTAAGATAACCCATTTAACCTTTCTAGATAATTAAACTGATAAACATACTGTTCTGGTGGCTAATTTTGCCTAGATTCTTAATCTGCTTTAATATCTTTGCAACTCAAATTACAAACTAGCAATGTGGAATTCATTTTTGGAAAAAAAGTTTGAACCACTATTTAGTTCGACCTGAGTTTTCTTCATTCCCTTCACAATTTCTTTTCCTTATTTTACACCTTTTCCCTTGCATATTTTTCACCTCTTTATTTGATGAAAAAGAATAAAAGAAAGTGGTAAATTTAAGCTCTGGATCCCTAAAAATTCATAACAAAATCTTTATGAAAAAAGGTTACAAAAATAAGATGTTTGAAGTACCAAGCAAAATTACTTACGTCCCAGAAGCCACTTAGAAGTAACTGCAAAATTGATCAAACTGAACTAATTAGGCAAATCTCCAAATGGTTTAGATGACATTATTATAAAAGAGATAAATGAGATAAAATCACTCACTGAGCATGATGCAGTTATGTTTCTGATGTTACAAAGCATAATCAGAATCAATAAAAGCATGGATCTCTGTCTGGCTTGCCCAATGTGCCAAACCTCTTAAAAAAGGGCATAAGATGGGAAGCTGTGTTATATAATGGATGAAGTTCACACCTTTTTTTCTTTTGCCATTTTTGTCCAAATGTGGAAAACCAGTTGCTAAATGACAACTATGTTGGAGTGTCTGGTGGAGTTCAGTGGTTCTACTTAAAGGAAGGAATCAGTTTTTATTAGTGTTCTCAGAGAGGCTGACAAAGTACCATCATCATTTCTGAAGCAAACTTCTATCACTGGAAGTTCAGTACTGATTTGCAGAACAAAGGCCTTTCCTTTCAAATTATTTCTTGGCTGTTTCCTATCCAACTGTTACTACTCTCTTTCTTATCACTACATAATACCATTCTGCTTCATTTTACTGCTCACTAATTTCCACTTCTTCTTTCATAATAAATGCTTTGTTGCAATCAGTGATATCAACAATAATGCCTCTACTTTTGTATTTCAAGAATTCTGTAAAAAAAATAAATAACAAAAATTACAGATACCACAGTACAAACCTGAATATTCACCAAAAATGCCAATATCATACATAAACAAAAAATTATTGTCCCAGTAGGTATGTAGATAAATAATTAGTTTGGTAAGGGGTAACATTTCCAAGAAATCTGATTTACGGTAATAACTCGATCTTCTTAATGGGCAAAAAACATCAGACTTTCAGATACACAATTTTCTAATCACAAAATTATACATTTCTATATATAGCACTTGTGGTGCTTTTTTTCCATAGCACAGAACTAAGAAATACCCTGCTCTGTAAAATTCACTTATTATTTTCCCCCCAATTGAAAAGATTGAGTATTACTGTATGTACATCGCAGTACTAAATATTCCTTTAGCTCCAAGCCTCAAGTTCTGTGTATATTCTTTCCAATAAATTTCTTAACCATCACTAAATTGTTGGATAGCATCAATACATCAATCTGTCAAATATTAATCCTAGGACCCCAAGGAAATGAAAAGTGTTTGCTTGAATTATAAGTCCTGTCACTAGCTTATTCAGTGTATGAAAAGAAAATTTACTAGCTAGGTACATGAAAAGTCTATTCAACTGATTATTAGACAGGGTAATTAACAACAAATTGACAGCAACAACATGGCATCACATGGCACATTTCACAAAATCACAATATCCTTGACAAAAATGTTAAAAAATTTAAAATTATCATATTAGTGGCTTACTTTTTCAAGACTTGCAATCAAAACAAAACGTAATGTAAATGACCTGAGATAGCCTGAAATAAGGCTGTCAACATTGAATGATGTCATACAAGACTAAAAAGTGCAAGAATCTGTATGAAGTAGTGGTAACTTTTCAGCCATAGGGTGAAACTATGCACTGAGCATGTCATCTTAGAAAGCAATTTAAAAAAGAAACACAAAACATGATGTCTTGTCTTGTTGTGCAATAGACTGTAACACAAAAGAGAGAACAACCCAGAAAAATACCCACTGATAAATATTTATTTTTTGCTGCACTACTCATTAGTCTGCCATATTTAATTATTTTTCACCCCACTTTCCACCACATCACATTAAAAATCTTGCTTGATTATATACATTATGCTGTGAAACTTGGGGTTATTTCAATGATTCCCAGTACCATGATGGATCATTGTACCTGCCTCGTCAAAACATGTGAAATAATTTATCTCTAATGGCATTTACTTAAGCATGCATTCATTGTTCAAATTATGTAGCTCCTTCTCTAAGTGAAGAAATATTAAACACACACTTTCTTAGCTAAAGAAAATTTTCTTGAGGAAACACTTGATGATTTTTTATAAGTTTAGCAATTATTTCTTGAAAAGGATTGGCATCTTTTATTCAAACTGACAGGCTTCCAAAATCAATTCTGAGATTGAATCATCCATTTTACATTATGTAAGCAATTATATAGGATTGTTTTCTTGAAGAACCAAAAGACCATATTTGTGTGCTGGTGAAGATCAAAAGTGTTCATTATTAGAGGAAATAAAAAACTGAATGCGCAACAAACAAAGTCCAGTCCCCTTATGTGTTATTACACTTCCCGATGAATCAAAACATTCATTGTTTTGTTCATTTGATGGTTATGTCCCCTCCATATCTGTAATGCCACCATCTTTGGGTTCTTTTCTTAAATTGTACAATATTGAATATATATATAAAATACTAACCCAACACAAAAAAAAATTATTTTTGTTTGAAGCCTTGTCCATTTTTCCTGTTCAAACAAGATAAAAAAATGACTCACGATGCACATTTTGTGAAGAGGGAGAGGAAACATTAAATAATCAATTTTTTTAATGTAAGGAGGTTCGGCCAATATGGCAAAAAATGCAAAATTGGATAAAAGAAAAGTCCTCATTGGAAATTGATTTTTCGTATATGTATGTTTTATTTTTTAAAAAATGGACGAAAATATCAGGCTTTCAATCTACTGATACTATGGACAAAAAGCAATATTTACAAGAACAAACTGAATACAAGACATTTAAACGTTATAGAAGTTTAGGCTAGTATCAAAAAATATTTTGAAATAGAAAATTACATGTACTATAAAGAAGGGAAGAGGGATAAATTTGAAACAATATGGAACATGTTTCTAAATTTATTTGTGTAATTTTAAGGGGTTAGTGTCTACATTATATGTGGGTATATATGTACATGTACTTATATATTGAAGCGAGGTATATAAATGAAAGAGTAGAAATAGGTAAAGCGTATATTTTCGGTTGATGTATAACTTATTAGTATTGAGGTACAAGTTATTACTATTATTATTGATATTATTATTATTATTATCATTATCAGGTAGTCTTAGGTTAGTATAAAGGAATTATGCGTATTCATCCTCAGCGCATCCATTATCATTATTTTTGTAATCAGTTTATTAGTTTTTTTAATTATCTTATTAGTTGATTTACAATTGTATATTTATTCATTCTATTTTCTGAAATAAAAAAATAGCATCCACTGAATATTGTTTATCTCATCTGTATAGTTCTCAAATTTTAATTATATGTAGATATATCTAATAGCTGCCTAGCAATGTAAAGAATGTAAAAAATAGCTTTATCATAGTCTCAAATACCATGGGGCTGATATATTGCTTCCTTTCTAGAAAATCCAGCTTAGTCAACCACAAAAATCACACCCCATCTTTTAAGAACACAACTTAGATCTATACCTTTTAACTCACAATATCGAGTGCCTGATCGAAGATAATTTTTTCACTCACTGCACACACACACACACACACACACACACACACACACACAGAAAAAAAGGGAATGACAATGAGAAAAGGAGTGATCTTGGGCTACTTAATGTTGAGAATGAGTTTCAATGGATAAAAAATTGCAAAAATAATATAATACAATCAATAAATCCTTGTTGATGAGAATTTGCTGAAAAATTGAATGAAATCAACTTCCTTTCCAGGATTATGCTCCAATGACTGTACAGAAGAGTCCAGTGAGCTCAATTCACTTGCACATTATAGAGTATACAGGTCAGTGCCCTTGATCCTGATTTGAACTTTGGATCAGGTAACTTCGAGGGAATTCTTTTAAGGCACTTAATTTCTGCAATCTTCTAGTAAGTCTTCAAGTAAGTTCCACATGGATTCTATTTGGTTGAATACAAAAAAAGCAAACTGCAACATCTCAAAGGGCGTTCTAACATATTAGGTAGCACATTCTTTAAAATGTAACTATTTTCTACATCCCTTTACATCCCCTCTATATTACTTTAATTCCTTTCATCGTTTCTACCTTGTTATTCCCCCACAGTTTAGATTATCTCTGGTGCAAATGCCACATATAAAACATTAACCTCAATTTTTAAATACAACAATTTTCAATCAAAAGTACCATGTAGGGTGTATCAATACAGATAGTATCCTAATTTTGCTAGGGGGAGTTTGATGATGAGGGGAAGCACATGTGCAGATGCATGCGGGAGAGTAACAGGCGTACAGGGATAACCCCCAACAATTTATCTTGGATTATAAACAATAGTTTAAAGATGATCCTCAACTGTGTAACTTGAATTTTAAACAAAGTTTACATGGACTGCCCCCAAAAACCTTACACTTACCCACTGTTCTTATCCTAGCTTGTAAACCTGTTGTGAAGTCCCAATGTCACATATATTGTCATCTTTAAGGTCTATAACAGCCAGGAAGCTCAAGACTAAGAACTATCAGCTACTGCATTTTATGATGTTAGCAGTAAAAATTTATGATAAATCAGGTCACTATTGGGAAAAAAAGAAATATCTGGTTGAAAAGAAAAGTCTTGAAATCAAATCAACCACTAGGGAACTTAATAAAAGAAATAGCATGCTACTGATAAATATCTTACGGCGGGAACATGTCAAACTGTTTAGTCTGATAAGTAGTAACATGGAAAGAATTTACCAATGCTGAGACTAACTTAAAAATTGACTTAAGAACTGTTTTGTTGTACTATAGTTAGTAGATGTAAATGTTGCTGTTTCAGCTTCTAGATCTGTTGTATCAATTGTACAAGTGACAGACTGACATGTTTTCCCAGCGTTTCTCATTACTTTAAAGAAGCAAAAAAATCTTTTTTTGTTTTTATTCTGAGTTTAAAAAAGATTTGTTGGTCTACTGATCTGAAAAGCTGGCATGTTTTTTCTGGGCCAAAGGATACTGGATGCAGCTAAAAAACAAAAAGGAGGCCCTCAATTGCATATATCTCAATACTTTGGAAAATTCCAGGTACTACTCAATATCTACTAAAGGTATCCAAATATTGGGGAAATAATTTCATTAGATCTGTAAACAATCATATATATTAAAATATTCATGAAAATTATATCCATACTTGTTTGTGGTTTTCTTTAAATCTCACTGAGACTTGTTCATAACTGATCCTGATGGAGAAGTACTCACTCATTTACTAATAATATGTCTTCAGAAAACATTAAAATTGTGATGCTAAAAACCTTTTTTTTCATTTTGCAGTGTTGCATACACTTCTGTATGTACTGCAAATGTCAGGCATGTATCATTTAACTCCTTGAATAGTCTGTATATTATGTTTCTCTGCAATGCGTGAGCAACAAACAACAGATAATTTGAAAAAAATTCTAAGAAAGAAACCAATCTTTTTAAAGTAACCTTAGCATGTTTCTGTATTGCATGACAGTAAATTTGACCTACGGGTTACAGCCTATTTGTTTTCCAGACTATTTTCACATTTGTTTTCATACCTACTTGTTATTACTTGACATATCAATTACTACCACTAATAAGACCAATGAAGAACAGGCAGTGCTATTTGGAAATTGTCTGCTTCACATGTTTAAGAAGTGTAAAGACAAACAGCGTTCTCTTGATAGAGCAAGCTGAGGGAAGAATTGTTTATATAAATCAGTGTCTCTTGTGCAATGGAGATAAAAAAGTATGGTAATGATAAAAAACCTTTGAAAGGAGAATAATATTAATTTTACAGATACTATATTTTCTAAAGTCATAACTTCTTAAAATGAAAACATCCCTATCGAGTGGAAGCAACAAAACTGAATAACAGGTGACTTCATAGTTCTATTTTATACAGTTAAAGCACCTCAAATGCTATACAGATATATATTTTTAACAACTCCAAAAATATGTATTTGAAAGATTGTTTTCCCAATTGAAAAAACTGAGACATTACTGTAAAATGTTTCTGAAGAGGCCAATTTTTTTTTACCTATGAGACATGATGTTTCAATCTTTCATCAAAGGGTCTTGATAACATAGCTGAATCATTAATATCTCATAGCTACCACCAGTCCTAACAAATTAAGCTCTCTCAATTTTGTAAGACACCTGGCTGTCACTGAGAATGTTCATTGTCTTCTTATGAAACTGGATGTCCAAATGACAGCAGGATGACTCTCTGGCAAAAGATTGTCAAACAGACAACACAACACAACTACAAAATAATATCAATGTAGACTGCACATCATATATGTACTCGAGATGCTTTTAAATCCAAAGGTGCACACATGATGAAGACCGGAGTTGCAGTACTGGTCGTGTATGATGGTGACCTGAGGGATATCAGAGCATAAACACTGTTGTTTTCATTTGACAAACTTAAAAAAAAGTTTTTGGGATAAGCTGGTCCAATTTAATAAAGTAGGATTCTAGTTGTTGTCTTCTATATACAGAAATCAGTGAAATTTACCCTGAAACACTGTTGGCTACTGATTGGCAGAATGTTCTGAGCTCTTTCTAAGAGGGTACTTTTCATTTTGTGCTATATGTCAAAACCCACTGGATGAGAGTTGGGGCATGCTCACAACCGGAAAATTACTTAGTTAAACTGGAAATATTCTAAATACCTTTCCAGTGAAATATTCTCTAATATATTATATTTTCTGTTTGTAACACTTAATGTACCATGGCAGAAAAAAAAAAAAAAATTCCCCAAATGTGTCTTTAAAAATAAAATTGGAAAAACTAACATTAATGCAACATAAATACAATATTTTACTGATACAAAGTTAAATGTTTGAGAAGATAAAAGTATGGTACAATGGTCTTTAATCAGACAATCAGATTTAATCCAAAGACACCCACTGTACCTTCTAGTCTACATTTAAATAAATAATGCAAACAAAGCCTAAGATCCTATGGGTTACAGCGCATCTTCTGGTGAATTGTAACAGGAGTGACACTGTTCACTGTGTACATTCTCTTCCAGTAAATATGTCCAAATATCTCTCAAGGATCAAAAATGTACAGGATGAAGATTATTGAATTAAAGAGCAGATAAATGATCGTTCTTAGCTGGCAATCTGATATCCAAAAGATTAAAAATAAATATTCCTCTCATTCATTTTTGTTATACCAAGGAGTTATAACTGTATATCTGTTATAACTCCATGGTTATACTAACCTGATTTAGCACTCAATATACAGACATTTGGTCCTACCGGTACCTGTAGACCTGATAAATCATTGATCCATCTCCCTTTGTAAATTAAAGGACCAAGTCTATTTGGTTCATATTTAGACAGGACTGATGGTACAATGTGCTGGTACTATACATACTCCAGTACATGCAAGCCACTGTTCCTTCAGCACCAGCATGCACACTGACTGACTGTATATCAGACAATAATTAGTGGATAGTGTTGAAATGTTTCACATTATTTCATCCCTCAACCTCTGACTTCGATATAAAATAGCCGTATTATTCATACTGTAGTTCTCAGCTTTAAAAAATGGCCTCTTTTCACACCACTAGTTACAACTTATATTTTATGACTGTAGACTTGGTAAGCTAGGAACTGTTAGCATCTGTATAAGCACTGCTGTCACCAAGTAACTGTGGCATTTTTTTTTTTAATTAATAAATCAATCCAGATTAACTAGTAGATAATTGACCTGTATACTAAACGACAAGCTATGTGCGTGACTACACACTCTGATAACACATTGCAAAACCAAACTCCAAAGGTATCCACAAATTAGTAAGCTTTTATTATCTATACATCAATGTTGCTCAAATAGTAAAAGAGTAAAAGTTTGAAAATTAACTTTGAAAACAGAAAGCACTTAAATCAAAAATAATTTTGAATCGGCTCTAAAATAAAGTCGTTTCAAGAATTGATCGATCAAGTAAATCCTTTCTTTAATATACTTTTAAACCCACCTGTAATCAGCCGTTGAATTGCTACCGCAATTCACTCCCCAGAACTTCACTAGTCAACATTCGATACCGCTTGTTGTTTCAGCTGAAATTTACATGTGACCTTGACCTGGGTCGACTTTCACAAGAAATGCTAGACTTTTGAGCAAATGACTGGTTATACTATCAATACGTGCCCATCATTTCCATTTGAGACAATTACTATCAAGAATATCAATAATAATAGATATTTTTTTTTAATTAAGGGCACAAACACCACATTCATGCCTTGGATTATCTTGCTCTTTACTCTGGGAGGTTGAATGGAGATTACGGTTGCACATGTGTAAACTCCACATAGCTCTGTTTTTGTTTATTTTTGATTGTTGCGCTGTTATTTTATCTAGAATACAATCATTGCCAAATATCAGAAGAAAAGATTTCTGTTGCTGTATCAAGTGTAAGTTACCATCTCTTACTGAGACAACGTCTACAAATTCATCTGGATAACGCCACTAGTTTGATTTCCCATGTTGGGACATTTCATGGTCCCAACATCTCTTCATTCTCCGAACGTGATGTGCTAGAATAAAAAGATTATTAAAAATTCGCAAATGCGTATAGTATGCTTAAAGAGTCTTGGATAAATAGTACAGTACAGTCAATATTGAATAACGAAACAGATTAATTTAAATTGATTTTTAAATAAATATTTTGGCTATAATATGTCATTCACAAACAATTCAGTCAATTTTATTCTTTTTTTGCAGAGCAGTTGATTTAATTTTCTGTCAGAATGCTGAGGAGATGTTTCCGAAAAACCAGAAGAATAAAGCTAAGGCAGTTAATACAATTAAGATCATATGTGAGTCCAGCCAGCCAGACATACGATGTGATCGTTGTTGGTGGAGGTCATGCTGGAACAGAAGCAGCATGTGCAGCTGCTAGGATTGGGGCAAATACTCTGCTCATTACACACAAAATAGAAACTATAGGTAAAAGACATTTACGTTATAGCTCAGCATGTTGGTTGTGCAGGATAATTTTGAAGTCACTACATTACCCTATAACCCAGGCATTGGTGATGTATAGATGTATACAATGTATATCTTGGAGACTGGATTTCTGATAACTGAAAGCAATTGACTGTAGAATGTATATCATGTATTTTGTCAGTGGATGGTTTTGTTTGCTTACTGTATTAGTGTCTGAAATGTTTGCATTTCCTAAATGTATCTTTTTGTCAAGCATGGATTAAGCATATAAATTAACTACGTATACTGAATTTGAGAAATGAAGTTGATGTCATTGTAATTATTTTACAGGAGAGATGTCTTGTAATCCATCATTTGGTGGTATTGGTAAGGGGCATTTGATGCGGGAGGTAGATGCCTTGGATGGCGTATGTTGTAGGATATGTGGTAAGTATACTGTTAGTAAGACAATTCTTTCATAATGGGAAAGTGATGACATGCATATCGTGCTTAATTATAGAGGGTTGAAAGGAATTTCTTTTATATAAAAAGTAAATTAAATTAAGCCTTAAAGTGTCATAAGTTAACATTTTTTTCTCCATTACACATGGCTATATCCATGTGAATATTATTACTGTATGACCATACAATGCTCTAAATTAAAATCAAAGACGCTATGATGACTTTATTTTCTTATTCAGATATATCAGGAATTCATTATTCAGTGCTGAACAAAAGGAAGGGTCCTGCTGTTTGGGTGAGGCCCCTTTTAGTGTTTTAAATGTGCTTGATGGAAATGGAAAGATTCAGGATGCAGTTAACTTTTACTTAATGATCTTATATTTGAAAGTTACTGTGCTGTAATGATTGATAATCATCACATTTGTCTCATATTAAGTACACAGATATTTGTAAAATGTTAAAATAATTGTTGTTATCAATTATTAAAAAGAACAAACAGTTTAAAAATAGTTTATAATATGGATGACATAATATATTATAAAACAGGGCCCGAGAGCTCAGATAGATAGAACACTATACAGAGAATATATGAGAAGGGAGGTCCTGAATACTGAAAACCTAACTGTGGTAGCTGCACCAGTTGAAGATCTCGTCCTGGGTGATGGAGACGTTTCAGTTCCTGGGCGACTCAGATGCAGTGGAGTTGTATTAGGTTAGAAATGTTTTCTTTGATTCTTATCAAAGAAGAAAATATGTGAATTAGCTAGAATTGTAATTACAAGGAAAAGTGCCATTTCCTCTGAGAATTTAACATTAATTTGTGAACTTGTCAAGAATGATTGTAATAATTGATAAGATTTGGGTTAGAACTAAAATCACTCTAAGGTAGGAAGTTGATTTGCAGAGAATGGTGACAAGGTTTACGGAAACACTGTGGTTATAACCACTGGCACATTTCTCAGAGGAGAAATCAACATAGGACTGGAGAGGAGGGCTGCAGGAAGAATGGGAGATGCTCCTGCAGTAGGGTTGGCCAAGTCCCTGGAGAGAGCTGGGTTTACTATGGGAAGGCTTAAAACAGGTGATTATGTAGGCTGCTTTCAGTACCATACATGATAAAACTGCCTAACATCACCATCATAAACTAGGTGGAATAACATGAGTTTAAACATTTAAAGTTGGGTGAGGGTACTTCTGGCATCCAGTCACCTGATGATGTTTGATTCTTCATGGTTAACATCAGTAGCCACATTTAGAACAGCGAACTAATTAGTCTTTGGATCAAATATTGCAACCCACATAAAAGCTTGCCGTCTAATCCCTGTAGGGATTATGCAACAAGCATTTAAGTGGATTGGACATTATTGATCTGTGGACTAATTAGTGGGCTGTTGTTAAAGCTGCTAATATTGCTTTGAAGATGTCTTGAGATGTTCTAATACATTTACATACATAAATTTAAAGAAAATGTTTATTACCACAAGAACTACAGTCCGGTGACACTGATTAGAATGTTTCAAGATTTTTAAGGTGTCATCTCTCTAAAAGTTGTACAGTCCACACCAGATATTTTGCAGAAACTATTTTAAGATATATTGATTATATAATATTTCTTTTGGGCACTCTTACAGTTTTAGGTAGGTTAGCAGACACTTGTTAGGTTAAGTGGTTTCTGTTAGAACAAACTGCTTGTGCCCTTGTCACCCATCCATTTTACATGAAATTTCTCAGGCACTCCTCCTCGGCTGGATGGACGCACAATTGATTATTCCAAGGTACACAAGTCCTTACCTGACAACCCTCCAGTGCCGTTTTCCTTCCTCAGTGAGCAAGTCTGGATTAAGGTAAAACATACTCAGGAGCGATTTTTTATTTACTGTAGTGTTTCTGGTAGTTTCATTACTTTCTTTTTCCTTATTGTAGATCTGGAATCCAGTGTTTGGTAGATTGGATATAGATATAAACTTGCTGTACAAAAAAAGATGGATTATTTCCATTACGGTATTGTCAGTTTCATGAGTGAGTTTTCAAAAGCAGTCCAACATTATAAAGGTGACCCCTATGAATCAATGGCCATATTCAGAATAGGAGACTAACTAGTTAGAGGGTCAAATATGGCCGACCCACTTGAATACTTCCCCACAGGATATCTATTCAGTGTCTATTAGGGGATTAGACGACAAGCTTTGTAGTGAGTTAGCTAGTCCCCTATTCTGAATGGGGCCAATTTCAGCCAGGCAGATTTGATAAGCCTAGTGTATTGCAGTGTGTCACACCTAAAGCAGTGTTTTGTACCCATCACATCTGTAGCAATTACTATGATGTAAATACAATAAATGTGTTCCAAGATCTAAAAGTTAGGGTGGGATTTTCATGACTTTCACATTGACTACCACTATATGACTTTATATGTCATGTGCACAATGGAGATGTGAAAAAAAAAAGCATTGGAAAATCAAGATAACAGATACTGTGAGAAGTACCCATATTGATGAGAGAAGAAAGTTAATTTTGTTTTCACAAAAGAAAAAAAAAGACCATGAAGATGCATTGGAATACAAAGGTTTTATTATCATTCAACTGAGGTCATCAAAACATTGTCAAAATTCATTTTTAAGATTAATTACTGCCAATAAATCATTTCTCTCTGTCTGTAAAGTTAACATCAAACGCATCTGGCAAGCAGCAGTTGCTAGGAATAACAGACATATATTATGCAATCTATCATGGTGTGTTTACATTCTTTTTTTTTCTGTACTAAGAGTAGAAAGACTTGGTTGGTAGATGTGCAATGTGTGCTTCATGATTTAGAGAAGTGGTACACATGTGCACTCACTCTGTGATATTCACAGCCTCAGTATTCTTGCCAAAAAGCATAGTTTTCTAAGTGTGTGCTCCAAGTTTCATGGATTCGTTCAGAGGCTTCCTGGAAAATTACTATTTTAGATAATTAAGAACAAAAGTAGAGCACATATTTTATATATTTCTTTTCATGAAACCAATATATTTCCCATTGATTTTTGTTTGTAAAACTAAATTTATTTTGTTTGTAATTTGAATTTGACAATCTACTTGGTTTTAAATGATTTTTTAGCTTTTGTTTGTTATATGAAATACACATTAAAAAAAAAATGCCTTATTTTTTTTTAGAATTGTGCAGTCTGAATTGTGCACATCTAATAGTGACCAAGTGTTTTCTTCCCTTGTCACTTTTGATAAAATTTTTGAAATATGTTTGAAATATAGTTAACTAGGTTATTATACCATGGTGATTATATATTTATTTTAGCAAGAAGACCAAGTGCCAACATATATAACCTACACAAATTCAGAGACAGAAAAAGTTATATTAGAAAATATGCATCTAAACAGGCATGTTAAACTGGAAACAAGGGGACCAAGGTGAGTTGTTATCTAATGGTTTTAATGGGTCTGCTAAAATATTGTCTGAACTGATAACAATGAAGACTGAATTTTGCATGAACAATAAGATAAGCATATAAATATACACAAATATAGTATTTTTATGGAAAAAGAGGTATTAAGTTAGGGGATACAATTTTTAATGAAGATTTCATATACATGAAGTAATGGAACAACAATTCATGACAGCTTTCACTGAAGATGTCATGCACATTGTGAAGAGAAGTTCAAAGTATGACTGTGTTAGGTGTGATTGTGTTACCAAGGCAGGACTGACAGCTTTTTATTAACTTTCGGTAAATAAGGGTTTTTAAGAATTTATAAAATAAACCAATTTACAGTTGAATGGTGGATTTAGACTTAATAAAATTTCATTGTGGGTTCTTTTAATTTTTTATGCATCTTGATGTTAACATTTTTGTCATTGAAAACTTACTTGTCAAACAAATATATTGGCAGTAATACTGTTTGAATAGTCTTAAACAGAAGGATGGGAATAACTGATTCAAAGGATGTTCAAACAGACTTGCTTCATTTGTTAACTTGGTAAATATTAGAGGGGAAATGTGTTTTCCTTTAATTAATAGAAATGATTAAATATAGTATTCTAGAGTTTGCGGCATGCCTGTGTTGTTTTATTGGAGTAGGATTTTGTTTGTCTTCTTTTGTAAAAATGATGAAAGAAATTCAGCTATGTATACATGGATATAAACTGGCTTTGATGAAGTGATAATTCCTTAATTTTTATTGAATATTTTACATCCCTTTGATATAATACGGTGGTGGAAGCAGGGTACTAATAATAGAAACTTATGTAATAATTTGATTTCAAAATTCTTTGAATGAGGAACTCTGATGGGTAACTATGGCTCTGTTCACAATCAAGTTGAGCTGGGCCTAACTTACCCAAGAGACTCACCCCAAAACTGTTTCATACTCACTGACCTCGTGTAAAGGCAGCAGGATAACAATGAAAAGACATCGATTTTTATTTCACAGTGATACTATAGAGTGAAAAAGCTTGCATACAGGCATGTAGACTTCAGAGATGCATTACAGACCTTCCTTTGAGACTGTGTAGAAAGAATAAAATAAAGAGACTGTAGAGCACTTGTGTTAGGCACTGGTGGAATATTGATTACAATTAGAAAAGCAACTGGTCATGGTTTTGTGCCTTGAATTCGACCATTTTCACCATACCTCTTTGTAAATGAGAATCTCTGTAGCAAATCTCTTTGTAGCATTTCCAGTTGAATGAGAGAGCTGTGGGCAAAACCAGAAATCAATTACCAAAATACTTTCTCTGCACATTAACACTAATTAGATAGGCTGTTTGGACTTGATATTCTGCACAAGATAGCAGTGAAGGAGTAAGAATTGATTTTGCCTATTGTGGCCGATAGAGCAAGTCCCATTGGTAGTTGAATTGTGTAAACCAGGCTTCCTCATACTTTCTAAACAGGGCTGGGAGGGAGGGTGCTGGTAGAGTTATGAAGAATGGCTAAATGGAATTCCAACTGCCATATTTCACAGGAAAAATGTGATTATTGTGTGGACTCCTCATGTTTACATGTCACTTAATTATTATTCTCTGCATGAAAGCTAACTGCAAAGTGCAGTTCAACAATACAAATACTTTAAATGCAAGATTATTGGTTTAGCTGTTTTGCTAGGAATGATGATTTACCTACTCTTTGCTTATATTAAAGTCATGTAACTAATGGTGTGTTTTGATATCACCTCACCCAAAGAAAAACTGAAAGTTAAAGTCTGATAATCATGCTGATAGCCAGTAGAATTAAAAATGGCAGGGTGTGGCTTGATAAATCGAGCTCACCTTGTCTGGGAGAGGACAAATCTTTAGACTAACATGTGAAGTTGGTTGTAAGCATACTGTGTTCGGAAGTGTATGTTCCTAAGTACTTACCAAATTGAATCAGTTGCTTGTTTAGTCATATAACTATCTCTGTGGTGTTACTACCTTGTAATGGCAAATGGTACAGGTGTCTGCTTGTTTCAGGAAGACTGTACATTACATTTTATGACAGTTACATTTTACTGTTTGCCTGAGCAAACCTCAAAAAACATGCCAAGTTACATATGATTGAATTATTAATGAATTCTGTTTCTGTATTTGAAGTTTGATGTGCCACTAGCCACCACAGGCACTGACACTGTTGCAGTGGCATTTAAAGTACAACAGGCGGATTATTCCAAACAAGAATTAAAGCAATAGATCATTACAAAAAAGAAATAAGTTGAAAATATTTATTACTTGTATTTGAGAAACAAGACATCAAAGGTTTATAGGAGATGCATAATAATTGGAATTACCATTGGTCTATCTTTACAAAAAATGATATTATCTAGCCATCATCTCTGTGACCTGATGAGACCATACACATTTCAAATTCATGTAAAAGTAGACAAACTAGTGATTAGGGTTTGAAATTGAAAGCATTCTCTGATAAACATACAGATCCTTCGACTTTGTTAAAAAAAAAGCAACAAAGAAACACCATTCACTAATTTATCATAATTTAGTCAAGACAAATACGCTGCTGACATGTGTTATCTTGCTTGCATGAAGATGCACACACAAAATAAGGGCATGGTTAATAAACAATATTGTACATGTACCTTGAATATTATTTGAATGCCCTTGTCCATGCTTCTTAATTAGCTAGTTGTAAGGAGATGTTTCTCTTTTATCAGTTTCTAATATTCTTTATTTGTTGTATGCATATTATGCAGAAGTTAGTTTGTGTGTACAGGATGACTTTTAAGTATATTTAAGTATATTATTTTAGTTGTTCATTTTTGTTTAGAAGATAAGAACAGCTTTTGGTATGTTAAGAGGAATATAAATGATTGATCTTGGTCATCATCGAAAGGTTAGGTGCACTTAAATAATTAATAATGGAAACAATTGCTACTGTACATAAACCACTCTCTCATAATCTTTTGAGTTCCAGAAAAGCCCCAGGCGACCATGATACTCTAAAGCAAGCATCTTAACCCTCAAGTGACCGAGTGGGGTCATTTACGACCCCAGCCATATGATTTAATGTGCCATCTCTTTATTATTTATTCGAATTTTCTTTCCCTGCATGAGTTTGTCAGTCTACTAATCCTACACACTTTCACAGTTTTTTGTAGGGATCAACCAATTAGTGTGGCGTATACATCACAAACTCTCGTGGGGTCATTTATGACCCCAAAGAGAAGCATTGGTTTTTAAATATTAGTTTTCAAATTTTATTTAAATGTTTTGCCCACGCAACACTGACAGACAAATGTCACATGCATCTGCTTCATGCAACCAGCCAGTGTGCCCAAAACATAGGCACAAATAAGTGGTTTGTGAAGATTGTGCTTGAAGTGTTACTTATAGTAATTTCTAATTTCAGTAGCTTTGTTGGAACTTGTTCTCATAACTTGATCTCTCATTTTGACGGTTTCAATATTCGGGTATTTCGAAAATCTAAAGAATTCTGTCGATATCATATTATACATATATTAAAAAATTGTTTGTGTGGATTTTGTTTTATACACAGATGTGGTAGTAACATATATGTAGGTTGATTGAATGTGTTCTGAGTAGTATGACTTCCTTACCAGCATTAGGGTATTCCTACTCAGCAAGTCAGCTAATTATTCTTTTTGAAGTTAGCATGATGCTATCTCAACATAAGTCAAAATATTTTTACTCAAAGTAATTTTGTAATGTACTTTTTTCATTAGTGTGGCAAATAAAAAGAGAAATATTTCTGCATGTGGAAACTGACAAGGACTGTCTAAATACCGGTGTAATGTTGTTCTTAAAATCTGTGCTTGGTTATTTCATGCAAAATAAGTATTATTACCAAATACTTATTACATTAGATCATTATAAAATTCTTGTCTTAAATCCTGGGAGTAGTATAGGTGTGATAAACCCTCAATAGCCTTCTATAATAAGGATCCCTGTACAGAACACAATGGGGTCATAGATGACCCCACTTGGTCATTTCAGTCAGTAAAATAGCTTGGTCTCTTGAGGGTTAATGAGTTTACAAATTGCAATATACTTGGATGTTCTTGCCAGCTTGCTGTGTTATGTCTGCCTAGCAAAAAGCTATTTTCAGTTGCTCACTAGCAATTTGAAGATATGTTATGGGAAGATGATGGTGATTCACACAATATACACAGCATTACTTGTTAGGGATTCCTGGAACCCTCAGTACTGTCAGTGCTTGGATTGCCAATGGAGGATAATCTATTTTCTTGGCATCTCTGGGAAAAACAAGTGCATGCCACTCTTTCTGATACTTTTTGAATGATCAGTGAATCACAATGCACTGATTATGGAGGTTATGAAAAGGAGTGTCTTGTTTTAATTAATGTCAAAATCTGTAATTTACTGATTCCTGGCTCCAGTGTGTATTTTGATAGACTGGCTCGCACTGTAAGAATAAATACAGATGCTTTTCCTAAAAAGAGCGATGATAATTAAAAATATTTTAGGCTGGTTTCTGTTTTCCGGAGCTGGATTTTAGCTTGGAGATCTGTGTCTTTCTGCTCAAGTCTGTCTTTCTTGTGATCTATGGAAAGGGATCTTTCTCTCTCTTTCTCTGTTTCTTTTTCGAATCAGTCTTCATACACAAAGAGGATTTTTTTGCCTTACTTTTGAAAGTGCTAATAACAGAGGAGGGTACTTCTAAGGGAGTGTCAGACTTACCAAAATCAGGTCTACAACAATATATAAAAACTGAAGAGAAGTTAGCTGTACTTTTTATGTACAGACACAGATGTGTCTGTACATATTGCCATCACCTGCGTCTGTCGTCGCCGTCGCCGTCGCCGTCGCCGATCATGTCGCCGTCGCCGTGCATTTTCAGCGTTAACACCATAAGTGGAAGACAACTTTNAGTCATGCTGATAGCCAGTAGAATTAAAAATGGCAGGGTGTGGCTTGATAAATCGAGCTCACCTTGTCTGGGAGAGGACAAATCTTTAGACTAACATGTGAAGTTGGTTGTAAGCATACTGTGTTCGGAAGTGTATGTTCCTAAGTACTTACCAAATTGAATCAGTTGCTTGTTTAGTCATATAACTATCTCTGTGGTGTTACTACCTTGTAATGGCAAATGGTACAGGTGTCTGCTTGTTTCAGGAAGACTGTACATTACATTTTATGACAGTTACATTTTACTGTATGCCTGAGCAAACCTCAAAAAACATGCCAAGTTACATATGATTGAATTATTAATGAATTCTGTTTCTGTATTTGAAGTTTGATGTGCCACTAGCCACCACAGGCACTGACACTGTTGCAGTGGCATTTAAAGTACAACAGGCGGATTATTCCAAACAAGAATTAAACAAGTATTTGAGAAACAAGACATCAAAGGTTTATAGGAGATGCATAATAATTGGAATTACCATTGGTCTATCTTTACAAAAAATGATATTATCTAGCCATCATCTCTGTGACCTGATGAGACCATACACATTTCAAATTCATGTAAAAGTAGACACACTAGTGATTAGGGTTTGAAATTGAAAGCATTCTCTGATAAACATACAGATCCTTCGACTTTGTTAAAAAAAAAAGCAACAAAGAAACACCATTCACTAATTTATCATAATTTAGTCAAGACAAATACGCTGCTGACATGTGTTATCTTGCTTGCATGAAGATGCACACACAAAATAAGGGCATGGTTAATAAACAATATTGTACATGTACCTTGAATATTATTTGAATGCCCTTGTCCATGCTTCTTAATTAGCTAGTTGTAAGGAGATGTTTCTCTTTTATCAGTTTCTAATATTCTTTATTTGTTGTATGCATATTATGCAGCAGTTAGTTTGTGTGTACAGGATGACTTTTAAGTATATTTAAGTATATTATTTTAGTTGTTCATTTTTGTTTAGAAGATAAGAACAGCTTTTGGTATGTTAAGAGGAATATAAATGATTGATCTTGGTCATCATCGAAAGGTTAGGTGCACTTAAATAATTAATAATGGAAACAATTGCTACTGTACGTAAACCACTCTCTCATAATCTTTTGAGTTCCAGAAAAGCCCCAGGCGACCATGATACTCTAAAGCAAGCATCTTAATGAGTTTACAAATTGCAATATACTTGGATGTTCTTGCCAGCTTGCTGTGTTATGTCTGCCTAGCAAAAAGCTATTTCCAGTTGCTCACTAGCAATTTGAAGATATGTTATGGGAAGATGATGGTGATTCACACAATATACACAGCATTACTTGTTAGGGATTCCTGGAACCCTCAGTACTGTCAGTGCTTGGATTGCCAATGGAGGATAATCTATTTTCTTGGCATCTCTGGGAAAAACAAGTGCATGCCACTCTTTCTGATACTTTTTGAATGATCAGTGAATCACAATGCACTGATTATGGAGGTTATGAAAAGGAGTGTCTTGTTTTAATTAATGTCAAAATCTGTAATTTACTGATTCCTGGCTCCAGCGTGTATTTTGATAGACTGGCTCGCACTGTAAGAATAAATACAGATGCTTTTCCTAAAAAGAGCGATGATAATTAAAAATATTTTAGGCTGGTTTCTGTTTTCCGGAGCTGGATTTTAGCTTGGAGATCTGTGTCTTTCTGCTCAAGTCTGTCTTTCTTGTGATCTATGGAAAGGGATCTTTCTCTCTCTTTCTCTGTTTCTTTTTCGAATCAGTCTTCATACACAAAGAGGATTTTTTTGCCTTACTTTTGAAAGTGCTAATAACAGAGGAGGGTACTTCTAAGGGAGTGTCAGACTTACCAAAATCAGGTCTACAACAATATATAAAAACTGAAGAGAAGTTAGCTGTACTTTTTTTTTTACTCTCCTGGGAGCAAAGGGCTAAAAGGATTGTCTACAGTGTTCCCAGTATTCTCTAAAAATAAAAAAATAGTTCTCTGTGCTGTGTATAACCTGTTTTTATTTGATTTAAAGGAAATTATTTCATTGTACCATTTATATTTGGGTTCCACATTGCAAAAGAGTGGAAGATTGGAAAAGAGCACAATACACATTTGGAATTTGAGACAGCATTAAGAATCAGATTTTTCCATACATATTTGAAATCATTCCACATAAATCTTACTGTAGGCTATTTCTTTACAGCTATGCACGTGTCTGGGTATTGTAACTGAAACATAACACAAGTTCAGCAGCTTGTCCATAGAACAACAATTTCACCTAGCTTTAAAGTGAAAATCAATATAGCATTGGATTTCAAATGTTACTTTCTAGATAGATTTCTAGATATGGCTTATGTACCTCATATGTTATAAAGTGGAAATATTTAAAATGAGAGATTCAGTTACAAATTGTGAGTAAGTAATACAAATATATTGTACTTTGTATAAAGTGTATCAGGTGACATTGGTGAATGGTGGAACATAAATTAATTCTAATACAATTTGATGACAGAGATCAGTTTCAATCTTTAATTCAAAAAGTCAATGTTGAATGTACTTTGTTGGCTAATATCCATTGACAAAGTTACCAATTTGAACAAAGGAACAGCACTGTTAAAGAAAACCGAACACTTAAATAAATTTGATAGCTGTACATGTACAGTTATTCTGAAAGGATTAAATTCAGGTGCAGAATAGGGTTTACCTCATTGCTTTTTAAAAGAAATAATAAAAATTAAACTATTACTGTTGTGGTTTCTTAAAATATAAACCATCTTTTTGTCAGGGGGGTCTCATTGCTCTGTACATTGTATAAGAACACCTATGACCCCATAATGGAAAACAAATTTATACTGGGAGCATAATCCATTATTCAATTACTTAAGGATAAATTTCTATAAATGTAAGGCTTGGCCATCCACATACTTTGTGGGAATATGCAGAGCACTTGGCTGGTTGCTGGTTCTATAGTACCAGCCATTTGGCCTATATTTTCATATTTCCAGAAAAATCATATGATATATAAATTGTGTGTGAAAAACTAAGGTAATGAATCAATCAATTCTATGGGCAAAAAATATCAATCATTCAGATATATCATTTTGGAATCATAAAAGTGATATTTCTATATAGCATTTGTGATGCTATTACCATATAGCCTAGTTCTGCTTTTCAGTCTTGTTGCTACCACTCGGTAAGAATTCTCTAATCTTAAGAATATATGACTTGAACAAACTCAGTATCTGTAATATTCACATTTTTCCCATTGAAAAGATAGAGTCATTACTGTAGTTCACATTTTCACACCTATGAAAATATGATTTTATAAAATAAAATAGTTTTTTCACATGATTCCTGAATTTTTAGAAAAGCTTTTTCTTCTAAGTTTTTTATTTGATTCCCTTTTTTCATAAATAAGACAAACAATAATTTATTTTGCTAAATTAATATGCTTTAAGTTATTTGCCTCTGATACATTTATGCACATTTATATGAAGAAGTTCCGAGTGTGTTGAAATGGTGTCATGTATGCTGAAACATATTCCTTAACTAATTTTGTACAAGACTCCTTTCAGTGTTTTTCTTCTATTCAAAAAAATTAATTATGTTACTGTCACATCACATGAACATAAGTCAATACACAAATGAACGTTCAAAATTTCAACTCGTTATTAAACTAAAACACTGAAATTTCTACTCATCCAGAAATTTGGCAGAAAGTACCCATTTGTTTAAAACTTGAATTAATATGTTAGCCAGGGCACACCAATTACCCCTTTGAGTTGTGAATATGTGTATTTTAACAAAATGTAAACAGGCCCTTGGCGGTTTGTGCCCTGAAGGAAGAAGTGCAAATAATGTGGAGTATTGCTGATGAAAAGATGGAGATGACTTGGTGACATGTTGTTATTTCTCGATTGCACCTTTTTAAAGGTGTTTCCAGAGGTTGTGTAGTAAAAGCACAATGGATATACAAAGAGCAGTTAAGTTTCCATTAAAACAATTCTTTTTGCTGTATGCTTCATTAAGTGGCAAATGAGGCAGAAATTACCAATGAGATACTTTTCTAAAGGCACAGAATTAAATGTCCCAGACTTATATTGTCATTTGTTGCTGAAAAGACAAAAAATGTGAACAGTAGCAGGGAATTCAAATTCTATCAGACATTTCTAGTACCGTTGTCATTTGAATTAAACCAGTGCTGCTCTCCGAAGGTTTTAATTGTGTATATACAAGGAAAAATACAATTTAAGGGGCAATTTTTTGTTTGATAACTTTTAGTGTCTCCCCAGAGTATTTGATGTATCAGGACACACAGATACTAGACAGTCGTGGTTGGAAAAACATGAATGGAAAATTGGATTTGGTAAAACACATGTCCCATGAATGTATTTGATTTTCATCTTTTTTTCTGGAGATATGTCAGCTACAGAGATCAATCCAGTGCCACTAACTCCTCTCCTGGGTTTTCAAAAGCCATTTCACTCTCTAACTCAATTTCTTTGGGCACATCTCATTCCCAAACATACAAGTTTTTATTGACAAGAAAGCAGTGATGTATGAGGAAGATAGCACAGTACATTTGACTGACATTTAGGAACCCCAGTATTGCAGAATATGTGAAGTAAACAAGAGAGTAAACAAAAACCAGAGTAACATTCCTCTACTAAAGTTACGCTTATTCAAGTTGTTTTGGAAATTTTGGTTCTTTGTAAAACTTTGTTAAACTGTCATCTAAAAATGCTCAAAAAGATATGAATCAAAATAAGTGGCTCTGAGCAATACAAGGAACTTAGTTTCCTCGAACATTTTTAAATACAATATATTATAAGGTTACAAAAGTATCTTCAGATGGTGTGGTCAGTTATAAAATAACTGTCCGTATTTCCCCAGAGGCACAGATATACAAAAATACAGATTTTTGTTGATTTTAATACAAAGTAACACAACATTACTATTCATAATGAAACAATGTAGAAAATTTTCTGAGAAAATAAAATAGAAATTAATTTCTGTCATTCTCTTCACATCTTATTGATTTTCACATCAAAAATGCAAATAATTTTTAAAAGCACGTTAGTGTCTTTTTAACAGACACTGGTGTATTCATGGAGCTCACCATAGTCACAGAAAGAGGGGTCGCGTGTTACTCGACCTTGGTGACGATAGCCACCATTACATAGTTCCTCAGGATGACTTTGTCCTTCTCGACACAGTCTACATCCAACTCTCTGGTACATTTGCACTTGAGACTGAAAGCTAGGTCCTGGAGTTTGCATCAGGGGTGTCATCCCTGCCCTTCCGCTGCCCCCACCCCCACCCCCACTACTACCACCTCCATAATCATCTCCTCGACACTTTGTACAGCAGAACAGTCTTCGTATCATGCTCAGGTTCTTGTCAAATATAATGAAGAGAATAGGTGTGATGGCACCATTGGAGTATCCCATGATGGTGAAAATTTTGTAAATGCTTTTGTCCTGTGTAAAGTTAGGATCTGAGATGTTGAGGAGAAACAGTGGGTACCAACATATGATAAAGCATGTGATGACAGCCAGCATGACACGCACCCTGCTTAAAGATTCATCCACAATTTTCTTGATCATGTTTTGCTTTGGCATACGCTCTTTAGAAAGGGCGATGGCTTGTCGTACAAGTGTGTTGATCCTGTGAGGCTTGTTTGCCAGTATCTGTCTGTACAATAAAATGGCATAGTACAGGGCGAGAAGCACTGCAAGGGAGTTAATACCCACCCACATTATGTAACTAACATAGCTCTTCAGTTCATTTTTACTGTAAATGCAGTTGCCAACTTCCTCGTTGTAACGGAAGTTTCCTCCAATCACAGTTGGCCCAAGGTGAATGATAACACTTGCTATGTATACAGTCAGTACACCAAATAACACGCAACAAAATGTCCCCTTCTCACTGTCACCAAAGACGTCCCTAAATGCATAAGCCTCTGCTGCCACCATTGCAACCAAATTGTATGCAGAAATGCTAATAAGTGTCACAAAGGAGGCACCAAGGATATTGCAGTGGGATGGGACTTGTTTCTGGAGGAGGCTCAGTGCAAATGGCACACAGTAGTATAATTTGGCCAAGTCCAGCAGTATTCCATGAATGATAAAAGCACTGGTCATTTTCCTGGTTTTACTGCTGAGAAAAATGCTGAGAATGAGCACCAAGTTGAAGCATAGGCCCACTCCAGCAGTGATGAACAGATAGTAGGCCTCTACCTGAGTTCCTGTAGGGATACTCGTCTGATTCCCTATGGTCTCAGGCTCAGCAATTGCATACGAAGCATTCCCTGAGTCTACAGTACTAAATGTAGTCACTTCACTTTCTGCCATGATGCTCTTTGTCTTTTTTTATTATTAATATTAATGATTCTAGAATTGAGTTTTTTTGCAAAGTTATTCCATATGCTATTTGCCTTATTTTTGGGGCAACTATTTGTGAAGCCTGGTGTCACAGGTTGTCTTTTTAATTGCCTGGAAGAGGTTCAGTGAAATTTCATCCCTTCATTCACTCAGTCTGAAAAGAAAAAACAAAATTTCAGTGAATTGTTAATACTATATAATTCCCCTTTTCCACATTTAAACATTAACATAAACAGATTCCAGAACAGTGATTGGGAAGCAGCATCCAGTAATCAAGAGAATATTTCTAGATATTTAGATGGGCACCATTTTCAATGATTATATCCTGTAATAAAAGATGAATACTGCACATTTGACTGTACTCAGACGCACTGTGTAAAAGCTACGAACATAAAAATACACCCTTTGACTGTATCTATAATACTTTTTTCTTATTTCTATATAAAATGGAATAAAAAGTAACAAACCACAAACAAGTTTACTTTCAAAACATTGTGACTTGTTGGTTCTATATTTGTAAAAACATATCCAAGGATAGTTAAACACCAACACAAACCAAGTCTGTGTGTAAGCACATTAAGAACAGCAGCACAAATGGACAAGAAAGTCACTGCCATCTTTCATGACTTTCCTGAATTAATTTGTGCAAGCATGCTCAAATATTACCTCACTTATAAAATCTACCAGTATATTTCACCTTGGGGCAAAAAGTAGAAAAGAAACAGCTTGTAGCTACTCACGCATGCTGGTGTTCCTTCTTGCACCTGTAAAGCGTATACCTACAATACAACCTTCTCTAACCATTCAACATGCTTTTGTTGCTTAAGTAAGCATACGATATAACACTGCACTGTTTTCATTCAACCGAGTCCTTCTTTATGGTAGAAAAAGCAGATTGTGCAACAGCTCTAAATAAGCATACTGACCTTCATGGACTTTTTTCTCTTATTTGCATAGGACTTGCTGATTAAGTGTGTAATTTTGGAGGTGGAAAGATTGACAGCACATCCACCTAAGCTGTACTTTTTTCTTTGGTAATCTTACTTTTAGGATTGGGTATAAATGGCTTTGGCATGAGAGTGCAAAGCAGAAGTGACATTAGGTGGAGGTTTCAAAACTCCTTTCCCACTGGCATGATGTTCATGCCTTTGGGAATAGCTGAGAAGTCAGATCCTCAAATGTTACACTACATTGATGCATCTTGGGCGCCTGTTTGCATGCAAAAGAGAAGAGCTTCTGGGGTCAGAATAGTCTTTCATTGTTTTGACCAGAGGTATTATTTGTTATGCTTGTATTTTTCAATAGGCTCGGCTTCTTTTTTGTGAAGAATGACCCATACTTTCTTAGTTAAACTTATGGAGGTGTTGAAAATAAATTTTATTAAATGATATTGATAAAACAAGCAATATACTGTTTTCATGATGAACTTGGACAGTTGCAATATGTTTAAACTATTTATAAGAAAGGAACAAATCTTAATAACAGATGTATTCACTTTTGAAAATTTTATTGAATTCATATTCATCAACAATGTGAAATGCTTTTTTCAAACATACTTATTTTGTCACAGCTGTTGCTTTTATTATTTTAGCTCTTTTGTTTTATTTTGTGTGCATGCTTCAGTGTAGAACCACAATCCTATCATCAACACCTGAAAGCTACTGTTTAGCGAGCACACAAGTATCTAACTTCACCTTTCAAGGACGTTTTTCTTTTTTTGCTGAACAACACGTATTAGTTCTTGTAGGATGAAAGGGATTCTGAAAATAGACCCGGCTAACTTACAAAAGAAACACTTTTTGCTTCCAGAACCATGCACAGAAAAGAGTTTGTTAGGAATTAGTGCCATTGAAACATTTTCTGTGTTCAATTTGACAATCAATAGTTTCAGAAATGTCACATAATGCAGTTAAGTCTCTTGAATGATTTTTAGTGGGATTATATTCGCATGAAGAGCTTTTTTCACAAAACTTTCTCCTGGAAGATGTCTCTTAAGAAAAAAAAAAGGAAATTCGATCTTGTAAAAAGTGTTTTGACATATATCAAAGACAATGCATGCCTCCCTTGCTCCTATATATAAGATGGCATGACTTGAGGGAAAGGCAGAGAAAAGGTTTATTGCCAGGAGAAAGCGGGACTTAGAAGTATAGTGTTTCAGGATGAGCAAACATCTTTCAAATTTTTGTGTTTACTTCAAGCCTAACCTCTCTATTCCTTAGCCTCTTCATGTTTGGTGTGAAGGGTCTACATGTCACTGGTGAAAAGTATGAAGTGCATCATACTGTAATGGAAAAATTAGCCCTAAGTAGTTTTATAAAGAAACTTTCCATTACTCTCTTGCCTCTACAGCTATAGGCTATATGGTTTGGTATTTTCAACTGAAAAAAATTTTTTTTTTATTATCTTGCTGCATTTTCAAATATCCTCGGTATTTATGGCCAAGTTTTCAGCTATTGTGGTAGTGGTTAGAGTAATATTCCCAGTTTAATGAATGGTTATTAAAAAAAAAAAAAGAACTTCCACACTAGTCCAACTGATCTTCTATACATTGAATTTGTATGGTGTCAGAGAAATTACAGGGTAAGTATTATTTGTTTGCAGTTATAGTAACAATTCAAGAGATTGAAAGCAAATTTATTATTCTTTAGGTGATTTATTCATATACAACATGAACATTCTTATCTATTGTTTTTCAATTCTTTCTTTAAGCATCTTGGCTTTGTCCTTTGTATCAAAACACAGTGGGCAACTTCTGAGAACCTATTTCAGACTCATCCTACGTTGGAAAAAAGTGAAAGTAACTTCATTAGCAGTCATTGAGAAGGTGACACATGCAGCCACAGGGGAGAAAGAAACGGGATACAAGAGGCTTTTGCTGCTTGTTATACTTGACTTCATTGTAAAGACAATGCCAGAATTAGCAATAGTATGACACAGAATTGCCTATGCACTCTGAATGTGAAATATCACTTGATTGTTATTAGCAATGTATGTAGATTAGACAATGTTTTTTGGCAGAGACTTCATTTTCGGACATTTCTCCCATTTACCAGTATCAAAATATCTTTGTCTGTACTTCTTTGCTGAAATATGGTATTCTAAGCACCAGTATTTCATGTAATAGCTTGTCAACACATTGTCATCAGTTCCAAAATGAGCTGATTTCAATGGAAAAAAGGAAAAGAATTTCAGTTACAAGCCCCTGGGTAATGGTTAAGTTGACTATATTGCATTACTGATAAGCATGCATAACCATTTTCCATACTGTTTTAACGGTTAAGGTTCTGAATTAGTACAAATAAATGATATCGTTCTTCATACAACTTGGATATATGTCAGAGGACAGACTTCTAGATGTAACATTGCATCTTACAGTTCACCCTGCCCTTGTTAAGAAACCGATGGGCTGGACTGGTTAAGGGCTCATCATATTGTATTGAACAGATAAATGATGCTAAGGCCATGCAGCTTGTGCACATATTTTCATGAAGGATGTTTGCATTATATAGTAAATCTTCTAAAATTGTTAATGTCAAGAGATACAATATTTAGCCTCTATATCAGTATGTGCAGCAGCTATGTGCATAATCTGTAGGAAAATCCTTTAAAGCTATAGATTAGCACTGTAGCATTATTATGGATATTGTCCAAAAATTCTGCTACCTTAAAGTTAACTGCAAAGTTCCCTATAGGTTTACATTAATTGAAGAAATATATCTTGAGCAGTGGAGCAATTCTTTATAGTTAGTGTTGGCTTCAATCTGTCATCAGCAAATAGGAGTGGGGAATACTTGGGGAAAGAAATAAATCCTCAGTGTGATGCATTGCAACGAAGGAATACCCAAAGGTGTGCCCAAAATGATGAAAATAAGCAGAGGATAAAAAGATCTGCTATATATAGGTGTCATATTTTTCTTATCACTCTTGGATTTTCGTAGACTAGCGTCTTGATAATGTATGGCTCTTAACTGCAAATGAACCATGTCTCTTTTGCTTCTTATATAATAAGTGGTATATTGATTATCTGTTATAAAACTAAGAAAAGGAAGTTTTTAGTCCACTTAAACATGCATGGCTCGGTGGATTGTGTTGAAATAAGTTTACCTGACTGAAGAAATGATGTAACAATCAATAAGAAATTGAAATTGATCTAGACAAAGAAAGATATGGTTGGGTAAAGATGAATGGATAGTATTAATGAGTGTTGAAGAAAATGAACAATTTTTTATCAGTTTGGTAGAAAATACCCAATAACCCTAGACATGGTATTTCTAATTTTAACTAGTAAAATGTGTTGTGATTGTGAAGAAATGTTAAGTATGAGAAATGCCAGTATTAAATGGATAATTTCATTTAAAGGATGAATAAATTTCCTCTGAATTACTTAACAGCCTTTCCCAAATTCAAACCATCACTATTATAAAGCACCAACCACAGTTATCTGATCACCTCAGAAACAGCTTAGCATCTTTTTTAAAAGGCTGGTTAAATTTGGTAATTAGGGAAGGTCTTTCCCACACCTATTGGAAACAGTGTGTCTTTGATAATATTTCTCCTTCACTAATTGACACCTGAGGAGAGTAAATGATTGCAGAGTTCCTGAAGCATGTGCTGGAGTGTTGTGATCATTATCTTCTGTCCAAGAAAAAAGTTCTACATGTTTTTTCCACACAGCATGAGCAAATGTAATGCAAGAGCAGTGCTTTGATTTGTGATATGTTCACACAAAACTTTCCTTGTTAAGTTCAAGCAAGGTGTGTCTGTAGTGTAGGTTGTTTTTTTATATTTTTTGTGAAAACAATTTGAACAATACCGATAAAGGAAATTAATCATCATGATGAATAAACAAGAGTTAAATTGGATATTAGTTTATGAAGTGACTGTGGCCCTTAAAGATTTGGTGGTCTGTCAGTTGGCATTTGTGTCTTTTAGAAAATGAGATTAAACTGCTTGTATATACATGTACATCTTCTAAATTATTTAACAGATGTGAAAATACACAATAAGTGTGATGTGTTCAGCACCAAAACTTGCATTTAATGTAAGACAAGCATAGTAAATGGCAATGCTTTAAAAAAATCCCCCACAGGATTCCATTATATGCATCTTGGTTTGAATACTTGGAGAGTGCATCATAGGATAAGTGAATAGATGTTCATTCAGGCATGTAAATGAATGAGTTAATCATCGTTTTTTTCTCTCATTATCGACTAGATTTTTACCACTGTGAATATCTTCAACCTGATAGGTGCTGACAACACGAGGCTTGGTGACTGTGTGTGTGTTTTGGTCTATCCTATCTTTTTTAAATGATAGACAATGCAAGATCTATCTCAAATTGTGTTCTGCATATATTTTTGTATCATCCACATGATTGTAGAACAATTTCACAGTGTCATAAAATCTGATTAATTCTGAAATGTAACTGATATGACTGTGTTCAAAAATTATTTTGGGAGTATAAAATTACACCCAGGAAATTAACTCACAGGTATCTTATGAAACAGTATACATGCAGTTCATATAGTACATGGTTATATGTTAGGCATAGCAATTAAGTAAATATGTTTACATAGTGACTATAGGAAAGGGCATCTTTGCCTAAATACATTGGACCACTCTAAACATGTTATAGCGACAATACCAAATGCCAATAAGTTTGTTGTCTTACATAATGTAACTTGACCCACCCATCCAAATTCATAAAGAACAGTGCACATTGCCTTTAGTGAAACTATGGTAAATATAAGAGTAGGCTTATAACAAAGGTACATTGTAAAGGCAGACTCGATGTGTGAGTTTTCCACAGAATGATCTGATACTCTACATATTTATCATTATGTCTACAGCAGTGGACATTTATATCCATCCATGGCTGATCTTTCCATTTATACATATTCAAGAATGATTCAGTTTTTGTTTCAGATGTTATTAATACCTAATTAAAGCATAATCATAAATCTTGTTTCTGCCAACAATATCACTACAAACTTGAAATGACCATAGCCTGTTTTGCAAAATGATTTTAAGTAAAAAATGTTCAAAGAAATCCTGTAAAGTATCAATAAAAAGAGGGCTGTTACATCAGTGACGATATACTACAATATATTTGTCTGTTAAAATTACTCTACTTACAATATACAGAGTGTGTGACATGGGTATACTCTTCCTACTCTCCAGTGTATTTGCCGGATAAAGTGAATTGTGGGCCTCTCTCTGTCCTAGTGTTTACTCCTGAACAGCCTGCCCTTGATGCACAATAATGCTGTTAAAGTATTAATCAAATATTGACGTTTAATGGAGAATTGGACCAATTTCCCATTGGACATTTTTTTGATACTTCATGTAATGTCATCTGATCTTTTGTCACAAAGACAGTGAGAGAGGACAGAAAAAAATTGGAAAACTGAAGTTTATCAAAATTAATCAGCAGTTAAATTTGATAGTCGTTTCACTGTCTGCTGTTTGGTGAAATCTCCTGTGTTTTTGCATCTGTCTTATACTGACTTAGCAGCCTGGCTTAACTCGTCAATAGAATCAATTAAACAACCAATTGTAACCTTCACATCTATGAGACTGTATGGTGTATCCTTGTACAACTCGTCATTGTGCCCAACATCCATTGATATTTTCTCATTCTCTCAGCCTGGTTTGCTTTTATTTCATGCTGTTCACCTGCACTATTTCAAAAGCTTATGCTTTTTCAATTGAACTTGGAAATGAAGGATACATTTGCTTTTCATTGCTGATCAATATGTTGAAGTATAACCAATAAAGGGCAGATTTTGCTTTTGTTGAAAAGATAGGAAAAGAAATTAATATATCCATCTTTAATCATACTATTTTCAAAATATTCTCCTTGATCAAAAGTGGATTTAATGTTATTTCAACATATAATGATTTAATTGAAATCCAATTTATGAACAATTTTTAGTGTTCTTAAAAACCTATTACTGTTAAATGAATAAAGTTTGTTGAAAACATTTTTGTTTACAGTCTCATCCTTTTTATGGGGTAAAAAATTGAAGTTTTTCATTTTATTATTTTACTTAATCTGATTTTGTATAATTTTTCAGGTAATGTACAGTTAATGCTCTAAAGTAATAAAAGAGAGCTAGTTTATGATGAATGTCAACTCATCAATTAGTGAGAAGTGAGAAGTATCTTCAAAGGCAAAGTGTTCCTGTCTCTGTGGAAAGTGACATGCAATTATCCGTAACTGTGCAAGCAAAGAGCATTGATTTTCTGTGGCTTTCACTCAACCTTAACTATGTGAAACACAACTAGACTTAATCACTCATTTGAAAAAAAAACTTTGTTTAAATTGAATAAATGTATGGCATGTATATTTTGTGGAAGCGAATGTGTTTAAATGATGTATTCACTGCCTTTCATTTCTACTCAGTTATGAATGTCTGTTGCAATTTTTGTTTGGCAAGACTTGCTTTTTTTTTTAAATTTCATATAAACAGCCGACGACACATTGATGTTTTTTAATTGGTACAAAATTTAGATTAATTTCAGCTTGAGAACATGACTTTAATGATATATTAGAAGTCATTGCATCAGCAGCTGAAGTTGAGGCAGTTTTAAGTGATAGACATCTATTTTATTTGGTAAATTAAGATAAGTTTATTACCTTTTTACAATTCTCCCTATTGTTTTCTTTCCTTGACGTCAAATCTCTGTCCTATTGATCAGCAGCTATTTACATTCAGGAAATGTACCACCAGGTCTTCCTTTACCACTTTGAATGGTGACTAATCTAAGGATTAGTTCACAGAAAAGCTAGCATGTTCTGTCTGAATAGTAACACATTATGCCTACCTAAGTATTGTTTAACACAAATGAACCCAATATGGTGAAGTGCTTCAAGAGATAAACTTATAGAAATACACCAACATGTACCATGCAGTAGTTTTAGCATTCAGTCAATCATTATAAACACTTGTATTGTTGAAAATACTTCAACAAGTGTTATAATTCCAAAATAGAGGCAGTCTACAGGAAAATGGGTTATTTAGTTGTGTTTCACATTGACAGAACTCTATGTGAATTAGTACATTAACTTTAGGGGTCAAACTCGGGACTGTATTTTAACCTTGGTGAAAAAATCAAGTTATCAATTTTTTCAGTGACAGCATTACAATTAAACTATCCCATGACCATTTATGTGACAAATGGTGGGAAATTTCAAATTTAATATTATCTGATCTAGACTACATAAAAAAGCATACATAACTTACCTGTGCTACATTTTGGTAATCCTGCAGTGTCTTAACTAACAGAAACATCTCCAATGACTTATGAAGGTGCACTGTAATAAATAGGGTGGTCTGCTTTACTTGGTAGAGTTCATTTAATTAGAAGGTGGGATAGGAAGGAGGAATTCCTCTCCCTCATAATTGGCAAATGAAGATCATTCAACCATTCATTCATGCTTTTGTGTATGGTTTAATTATTCTTTAGTTAAAAAGTTATTAGTCAAATATTAGAAATGTGCAAAAAATTAATGAATTTAAACCAAGACAACCCAAGATATGAAGTTGGGAAACTAGAGCCAAGATGATGAGGAAATAACAAACTTAAACGCACAATGCAAAATGTTAATTTTTTTATTGAGATTATATCAAAAAGCTCAGATTATTATGAATAGTCAAAAGTGTACGTCTCAGATTTTTTTTAATCAGGGCATGCATGCATGTGGCCTTTATGAGCTTTTGCATGGATCAAAGTTAGTAATACAGATATCTGTCAGTTTGAAGGATATATAGCATTCATATGTTGATTGCAGAAAGACAGTTTTAGGTTCATCTAGTGAATAATACATGTTTTTTAGACCACCTGTGATTGAAAGCAGAGATAGGAATTATCTTAGCACACAAGACTATTTGCCAGGCACAGAATTATGGAAGAGTTTAGAATAGTTTTGTGGAAGGTTATGGTATGGGGCACAATTGTAAATATGTAGATGCTACATTTATACAGAATAAACTCTACATCCAACATATGCCATGTTACCAAAATAATTGTTATGAACTTGTATCTGATCTATTAGAGTCTCTTAACAGTGGAAACTTGAAAGCTGCTGACACTTAGAGCAGTCTTCCAGAGTGCAAGCTTACACAATGGAACAGTCCTTTCCATTTTGTTTGCCTTTCAAATCAATATATAATGATGTTCATCACTGAATATAACAGCAAGAGGAAATGAACCCTGAAAAACCTCATGTTTGTCTGCAGTAAATAATTTGTTGAGGTACAAAATCTCATGACAAACTCTTCATAATGGCTTCTGAATTAAATGAGAATAAAATATTGCTTCACTGATCTTAACTTGACTGATTGGCCAATAATGTGACTGTTTCAGTTCTTTTCCAGTTTTCAGTAAGCAGTATATTTGTGAAGTTTAAATCCAAATATGACCTTGTTTCTTGACAGCATTCAGTTTGTGAAGTGTAATGTTGCTTCAATATGGGGCTGCAGTATACTTTAATTTGATAAAACATTTAAAGAAAATCAATTATATCTTTTTCAATTAGTCATTGGGGATTTCAAGCTTATTTTGACTAATGGCTGTGTTGCATATTTTTGGCAGATACCTTTAATTACTTCCAAGTAATTTCATACACATTGTTTGCTAATAATATGGCTTGATATGAAGGAATGTCCATAGTTTTACCTAAAAATAACCTCAAATTTCACTTGGAAAATTTGAAGCCTACATGCAATGTACATGCAATAAATTATCAATTTACCAAGATGAGGATTAAGGTTTGGATTACTTCTTTGGGTTGCTTTATTGAATAGATAATTTAAATAGAAGTAAGATGGATTAAAAAGCAATAAAAGAAATAAACAGTAATAAAAAAGACACCCTGGCCATGGTTTTTGCCATATTTCAAATTTTCTTTTGATAGAGTGGGTAAAATGTTAACTGAGAGAAGAGTCCTCAGAAAGGGACACAGTAGCTGAATCTTCAGCATCAATATTATGGCACTAATGCACAGGGCAAGAAAGGCAAACAGTACAGTCTGACCTTCAGCTAATTCCTGGAAAAAATCACAACCAAGAGAAGATAAAAATATACATTAGTGTACAGAATGGCTTAGATAATGAATTTAGGAGACGTTGATGAATTGGATGGCCCAGGTGGCTCAGAGGGGAGGTGTGGGAGGATAGTATTAAAGTTATTATGGGATGGTGGAAAAACAATCCAGCTCAGACCAATTTAGAAAGTAGTGCCTGGATCAAAATGTTGCTAGGCCAGAATTACTGCTGAAAAAGAAAAACTGCTGTACATCTGGCCTGTCTGGTTGATGAATTTAATTCCTAAAGTATTTTATTGATATTTATGTTAGTGTAGACAGGTATCATCTGGACATAGTGTAAAATGTAGGCAAGAATCAATTTTTAAATACTTTTACCAGTTCTTTTACGTTTGAAAATGTGACTTAGTAATTAAGAAAAGATAATGCTTTTCTAATTTTTTCTTTTCGAATGTTTGCAGGTGACAAGTTTTCCTAGTAATTTTGAAAGTAAAGAAATTGTTGCAGTTTCTATTGTACGTACAATATTGGGTTTGCTGAAAGTTGAAAATGAAAGAAAAAAAGCAGTTTCAACACCTCTTTGTTTGCACTACATATTTGACCAGGTCAGGCATAATAAACTTGTTATTGTAACATGCTGTCTGAAGGCAAAACATTTTCTCACTATACTTTCTATGCAGATCCTTTGGTCAATTTCCACAATGCAGTTAATGTAATGGGATGTAGTAATCTCCTGAAAAATCTCCCTCAAGTTTTCACTTGGTCACTCACATACAAAATGAATTTAAAATCAGCACATGCAGCAGTAGGTTATAATATTTTGCTAACATTTAGCCCTCAGGGTAAAAGAACCCAGATCAAAATTGACCAGATTATTTTAGACAATTTGAAGTTGGCTGGAAAAAATCAGGCGAAAGCTTGAAATTAATTACAAACAATATCATATCAAACTTTTGGTCATTGCACATTTTTCTTTCATCCAGATTGGCCTGTTGCAATTATTTAAGTGCAATGTAGAGTTGAAAATATTTGATCCCAAGGTGTTATAAGTTGGAGTTCACATTTTGCACTTGTTGATCTTGGGGGCAGTTAGAGCACTTGTTCTATTAAGTTCAGGGGTCAGTTCTGTGAAGTAATGATTATGTCTGACACCTGCAGTACTGATATAGTGCATACAGTACTTTTTACCCACATATATTTTGGTCTGTTGGCATTATGGTCATTG